GGAAAAATACACCGAAACGTATTTTAACTGATAAATAGAGACAATAAATGACTGAAACACAGTCAGGAAAGTATGTACAATGCTATCTATGCCTACTGCTGCGAAGAACGCATAGAATCAAACATGAATATTTACATTTGCTTAGTATATTCGAAGCCCATTGAACGGGAAACATCGGAACTTTCCACTGCATAAACTGCAAAAAAGTGAATAAATCCCAATCCAACTGATAAACCGTAAAATTGTTCACAGTCGTTGAGTGAATAGGTCTAAACCTGCCACCCAAAGTCCAACAGTCAATTATTCAGATCAATGATCTCGTTGGACCGGCCTGGTTGCGGGAAGCCCTGAGACGCCGCCTGCGCCAACTGAATGTGTCTGAGCTCTTCGGGCGTGATGTGCAAGTTGCCCAAAAGCTGGTTGGCCACCTGTTGGTTTTGCAGCAGCTGCTGCATCTGGTACTGCTTCAACATGTTCTCGTGCATGCGCTGCGCCTGCATCATCTGCATCATGCGCAGCTCCTGCTGCACCTTGTGGTACAGGCTAAAGTTGTTTTCGGACAATTGGATCTGAAACGCCAACCGAATTATTGGTGGTGGTGGACTCGAATTGTTTTGCCATCGGGCTCACCTGTAGTTGAGCGACCAATCCAGGAAGGATGTTCTTGATCTGCATTTGGGTCCAATTGGGGTTGTCTTTGCGCACCATGTTGGCCAGCGCCATTTGGATCATTTGTGGTGAGAGGTTCAGCGCATTGGCTTGATTGGCTGCAACAACAACAGCAAAAAGCGTCAGAACAATGCTCTGAGTCGCACGGAACGTCGTTGATGTTACCGAGGTTCAAGGCAGCGAAGTTGGTAACGGTGGTTTTTCTGATGATTTTCTCGTTTTCAAACTCGTCCCACGCGGCTTTGCGCTCCTCCTCGTTCAGCTGCTCGTCCTGCTTGTTCTCCAGCAGCGATTGGTGCTCGTGATACTTGTAAATCACGTTGTCATGCACTTGCAACATCTCGCCCAACAGCACATCCTTGGGCACCAATGGGATTGGCCGCTCATCCGGATCCAAATCGGTTCTAAACAATTAAGATGTTGTTAGGAGAAGCTAAAATATCGAATGACTAGCAAAAACAGTCGTTTTTAAGTCCATTGAGGGCCGAAAAATGTCCAAGGATCCGCAGCCTTACTTGTACAGCTCCTGTATGTCGTTTTGGCTGTAATGCCTGTCGATTTGCTGTTCATCGATCACCCGCTTGGAAATCGCCTGCTTGGTCACCTGCCGTTCGTAGATCTTCATTTCCATGGCGCCCTGAAAATGCACCAAATTGGGTGTTTTCATTCTATCAAAAATTCCTACAAACTGAACATATATACAGGGCTGATTCAAAATTGGCGTCATTCCTCTGGAGGTGTTGTCTGGCGCTGTTATAGTAGTACAGAAAAAATAGTAAAATCAATTAATTGTTATTAAAAACGGAGAAATTTGCAAAAAACTATATCAGAAATACGGCAGCAATGTTTTTCAAGGTAATCTGCCTAATTAACATTGCGCAAATACCTGTTGCTTCGTA